AAACAGCAGCGTTCCTGGAGTTACATGGCATTGATGGAGGTCCCCTGCAACTTGAAATGATTGAAATACAAGCATCAGGGGAATTCAAAGATGTACTTCAGGAAAAAGGCTGCACCGAGCTTTGTCCCAGAGATGTTCCCAAACATGAAGAAACTGGCTATATGTGTCTTAACAATGTTTGGATCAACATATACATGCGAATCGGCCTTCTCTCACATGAATGCCATAAAAACAGAGAATCGAATGTCCTTGACAAATGAGCATCTGTATCATTGTTTGCGAATTGCCGTCACCCCATATGAGCCTAACTTTTCTCATCTTGCCCAGTCAATGAAGTGTCATTTTTCTCATTAGAGATTGATCAAAGTCTCCTGCAGTGTGAAGACCAAACACACTTTTGTTTCCTTTGATATGCTTTAAAAGCCAGCAGTTTAATTTTGTTATTTCATTCAAAATTTAGATTGTTCTTATTTGCACAATTGCTCTTACTGTTTTAGTTTATGACTTTGATATTTCCACAAAAAATATGTTAGGTAATGCTACTGGGAATTTATGTTACTGGGATTTCAGTCAAACTAAAACTGGTTATGTTTTCTACGCTTTACTAAGCATAGAGCAAGTGCTGTCACTATGAGTTTTTGACTCAGACTTTTGTTTCATTTATATGCTTTAAAAGCCAGTTGTTTAATTTTGTGATTTAATTCAAAGTTTTGTTTATTCTTATTTGCACAATATGATATTGCTGTTACTGAGAGCTGTGAGGTTGTTACTGTATTTGCACAAAAGACATTGGAATTATTGTTACTGGCATTTTATGTGACTGTGATTTCAGTCAAACTAAAGCTGGTTATGTTTTCTTGGCTTTTATTTTAAGCGAAAAACAAATACTGTCACTATGAGTTTGTGACTCGGATTTCTGTTAAAACCAGAGTTGGCTATGTTTTGCTGTTTCTATTATTTTCACTAAAAACCAGCAGTTAATCCTAATGTCATTTGACTTGTTTAAATAAAAATGTTGAAAATGCAGTGGTACTTTGTTTTAATGGAAAAATATGAGATACAGGGAAATGTGCGGGCCGCTGGCAAAAGCCTTATGATAAATTGGCCCAACAAAAAATCGAATTGAATACCCCTGCTTTAAGGGTTCTGTTGTTAGTTTAGATTCATGTAGTCCAGGTCTGAAGAGTCTTGTAGTTTTATAATTAAAACCAAATAATGATGTTCAGAGAGTGGAAAATGAGTTGGACTTGCTCTTTCTCACTCAGAAACTAAGAAAGGGAACCAACTTCAGCTTCATCTGTGTTTTATCTACTTATTATTATTTGTAATCATTTAATATCTTGTTTTTCAGTCAAAGAAATAGGCTAAATGGGCACTTACATCCATAACCACGTCTGAGCTGATACACGAAGAGGTGGTGCACCTTCACACCTGATTTGGCTTCCTCAAGTACCAAATGTTGGTTTGCGGAAGAAGTTTGAGCTCATGGAGGCTGCAGCTCTGTGAGATGATCAGAGCGTGGCGTGTGCGAGCTAACGAGCATGTGTGTTTTTGCCGCTTGGGCGGTGTGGAGCAGGTGTGGTGAAAACACACATCAACTACAGAACCGACGGCTAAACCAAGGGGAAACTGATGTGACACAGGTGTGCAAAGGTGCAAGTTTCAGTCACCAAAGGGGGAGGGGCTAACAGCCAGCGCCTCTCAGAGGGACCAGACTGATGATGCAGTTTATGAGCAAAGTGCATTAAAAGTGTGGGCGTTAAAACCCTCATAACCCATGGCTGTGGTGTTCGATTCTTCAGTGTGAGTTATCAGAGGTGTGGCGTGAGAGCGTGTGGAGAGAGTCAGATGCTTGTGTTTCACACTCAGTGTGTGAGAGTTGCAGCCGTACATATTAGTAACAATATGAATAGAAACACTATACAGTGTTCAGCTGCACCAACAGCCTGTGCTCGTGGATTCAGTTCTGTCATTCTGGAATCCAGGGCCACAAAAATCTCTCTGAGGACCACAAATGGCCCACGGACCAGACTTTGGACTCCCTGAGCTTTGAGACTTTGACACGATTCTTATCTCTGATGGCTGACTGTAACTGGTTTATGGTTGAGACTTTGGGTTGTTTATCAGTTCTCACCAGATGAAGAAGAAACCCAAACCGGTTGAGACTGGATCTAATGTGGACAGAAGAGAAGAAACAAACTAAAGTGTGTGAATCAGGTGAGTTGTTCTTGTTCTCCTGTCAGAGAGAACTTTCCTCTCTGGATTGTTGCTTTGATTCACCTTCAGATCAAACTGCTGCGTCACGTCTCACCGTCTCACTTCCTGTTGGTTCTCACTAGAAAACACACTGGCTGTTGTTTTCTTTGGTGGAGAATCCCAGTCTGTCTAACTGGTTCATGTCTGGCTCTGACTGACTGAAGAGGAAGATGGACGTTTATGCAGAAGAAGAGGAGAACAGAGCAGAACCTTCAGGATCCAGCTGTCCTCCTATGAAGAGCAGTTCCTCCCAGCCCAGACCTCCAGGCCTCAGTGGACCTGGACCTTCAGACACAAAGTAAGAAACGTGTTGATGAAGCTAACTGACCTTCTTTAGGTTTCTCCTCTCTGATGTCCATCATCTAGAGAAGCTTTCATCTGACCTCAGTTACAAACATGAAACCTTCTGATTCTCTGCAGCAGTTTGTGTGTTCAGAGCTTCTGAGATGGTTTCATCAGATCTTCTCACTGACTGATGTGATCTGAGTTACAACATGTTTGTGTTTCAGAGGAATGCTTACTGTGTGAAGAGCCTTGAGACGACTCGTGTCGTGATTTGGCGCTATATAAACAACCTTGAATTGAATTGTGGAGTTGCTAATGCTAGCCGTTAGCTTCTACTAGCAGAGATGTTGCCTGCTGTTTCCTGGACTTTAAACCAACAGCTTTTTACGTCGTGAGTCAGGATGGGTGAGTCCATGAACGTTGGGTGACAGTGTGACATAGATTTGTCAGGCTTTTCTAATCCTAGAGTTCACCATCCATTTTCTATCAGAAGCTAATGCAGGAGACAGGTGTAGGAGGCTATTTTCATGTTCAGCCTGCACAGTGACTGATAATCAGAAATAATCATTAAAATGTATTTTTTCAGTGAACCACAGCTGTATTTATTATAGCCTTATACCATTTTGAGTTGCTGTAAAATGACTAAACTGTTTAACTGACAGCAGGACAGGGCACCGAAGGATGGAGATACCTTCATGAATGAAGATGCTAAAGTCCTACTACCCACTGTGCAACGACCTAGTCTGAATGTTCTTCGGGCGTGGTCTGGACCAACGGACTCAGTTTAGACATGATCTGCTCGTCCATTTGACGTTGATTGTTTGCAGGGTATTGCAGTTGTTATTATAAATATTACTTATTACCTAAATGTTATTTCTACTTGTTCATATATTTTCTAATTTCATTAGTAAGAATATTATTAGGACAAAGATAAATGTTATTATTGTTATGTAGAACAGGAATCACAGAGAGGTGTTGCTGATTAAATATTAAAATGGCTTGCCGTTCCGGCTTGTTGTAGACAGATACGGGTTAATCCTTACAACCCTAGTTGGGACCGATACGATATTAATGTGGGATCTCTAATTTTAGCTGCTAAAATAAAAGATTGTGATTTTATTCTAGAGAACTGTGATGATTGTAGCGTCCAAGTGAACTTGATAATGATTGATATCATCACTACATATTAATTATGACCAATAAGATGTGATGAGTCCATATAAATATGAAATATCAACCTGATTGATCTTTGAATGTTTAGTCAGAAGATTCTAGTTTCTTTGCTTCTTCAGGGGCCATAAACACACTTCGTATTAATTCAGACAGAGTCAGTAAATAGTTAATAAAATAATTTAATTGTTTTTCTTAAACTATTAATTATACATGACAATATATGTATAATGAGATGTGGTGTAGTGGATATGGAGAGATTTAATGTGATGTGTGAAATGTGATGGAAGCTAGATGTTTAGCAAAACCATTCTTTGTATCTGAGAAAGTTGTGAAGTCTGGGTTTTAAAAAAATTGTTGTTGTTTATACCTAGAGAGTTGTTTATTTAAACACCATCTGACACAACCTGTGCCAAGTCTACGTGTCACAGAGTGGAAATGTTGCACTTATGTTATATTTTATATTGCATGTTTTACTTGTTTTTATTCTGATGTGCATGTTTTTATTGATGGTGTGTTTTTAGTTTGTTTGGTGCAACATTGTGTGTTCATTCTGTGTAATCACCCCGATCATCTACACCTGTGGCAGAGTGTTGCCTGGACTGTCAATTACTGAACAGACGCAGGCAGGACAGGTTTTATTTAAAGGGAGGAACGCGTGGACCAGGGAGACAGCCAGGATGGCAGACAGAGCCAGCTAACAGGCAGAGACGTACCCCGGATGGTGTGCCTGAACACCCCCCACCCCCCCACCCCACCCCCCGCCGGAACAGAGGAGCACCCGGAGTACGGTCCTGGAGGATGGACGGCGGCCGAGTGCGGAGGAGCGTGGGTGTCCCTCCCTCCACACATGTGCGGCGCTCGTACAGGTGCCACTGAGTCCGGTTGGAGTCTTGGACAGAGGAGGGGGTTCACCAGCGGCACGGTCAGCAGCAGCAGCGGAGAGCAAGATCTGCGGCCGGAGAAGCCAGGGCACGGAGCACAACACGGCAGGCGGGCAGAGTTACTCTGCCCCAGGGGCGGCGTTAGGCCCGGCTACTTGGGCTGAAGCCCCGGATGTTTTATGAAAAGCTCCGGATCTAAATCGCGGAAGTAACATGCAGTACCAAAGTCCAACAGAGAGGGAGCAGCTGGCAGTAGTTTGTATACAGCCTGCCTGAGCCTCCACCACTGAAGAAGAAGCCCTTCAGCAGCCGGCTTCTTCTACACTCTCTGCCTGAAACGCATGAGTGAAGATGGACATAAGGATGTTTTTAGACCAAAAGTACAACAACAGAACCCCAGCTTTGATGAGACTGGTGTTGACTCAGGTTTGTGAGTCTTATTTGAAAATATTTGTTGTGCTGCTGGTTTGCCTAAAGTTAGCTTACTATCAGGTAAAGTTGATGGAGAAAGAAAGGGAACATTTACTATCATCTCACTCTAAACACCAACAGGAACTATACTCTGCCCTGAAAATGCTTAATATGGAGCTTCAGATTAAAAATTATGTGGTACAAGACATATATATGATGATGACTAGTGCGTGTCATGTGTGTGTGTGTGCGCATGTGTGTGTGTTAAGCCCCGGATCTTCTTCAGTCCTAAATCCGCCCCTGCTCTGCCCCTGCGCGTAAGTAACTGAGCAGTGCCTGGCAGTGTTTGGAGTTTGCTGTCTCTCTGTGCGTGGTCTGGTGTCGGGGACCTTTTACTGCCGGAGTTTTGGTGTGCCACAGGGGCCGGCCCGAGGAGGAAGAGGATTGGATCCACCTTGCAGTGACCCTGTGGTTCCCTTGAGGATGACGCGCACCGCAGGAGGGCGGGGTCGTAAAGGCTTCCCTGTCGCGCTCATGCAGGGCCGGACTGGACTGCTTTGTCCCCCGAGGCCCAGCACAGATTTATTTTAGGAGTTTTATTTTGGGCATCATCATCCGTGAACTTTCGGAATAAATTCCCTTTATAATTTGCTTTTGTGGCTGCACTGCTTGCCTTGTTTTAGTACCTATTTTATTCTTTTAATATTAGTGGCATCATCCAGTCCACCTCGATCGTGTCACATACGCACCCTTTGTGTGGAGGTTCTGGTTGGGTCCGGGGGGTCGTGCTGGTCACTGCCGGTGGAGTGGACCTCTGATATCAGGAACCTGTAGATAGCTCCGATAGGACCCGTCCAGTCTGAGAACCCTCCAGGTGAAGGCAGGAAGCTGGAATGCTTGTTTGCGTCTAAGGTGGAAGTTTGCTTGGCTCAGAAAAGAGCTGCTTGGCTGTATCAGCTGCAGCGTCGCAGAGAGGCTTTTGACTGGAGGTCAAAGGAGTTTGTTTCAAAAGAGGCTTCTTTCCCGATGTGGCCAAATCAGGAGTCAGCTGGAAACTGAATTAATCGGGAAGTAATTCTTGTTTTAATAAACAACGATGTTGTGTGTTTTGGCCAATCAGGATTTGACATGTTTTTTACTATTTACCAACATCCCTCAGAAAGTCACGCCTTCTTCAGATACAAGATGTTTTAACACTTTGTGAATGAGAATGTTTAAAACTCTTATGTGAGGTGAATATTAACCCTAATGATTATCTTATTGTAATGTGTGTGAGTGTAGACAATGATTAACTTGTTAAATCAACACACACTGATCATAAGATCTGAAATGGATCATTGTAAGAACAATATTCATTTCTAAGCCATCATTGGTTAAAGCACACATTATTCAAACATTTGATTTAAACATCTTGTTCATTCATCATACATGATAATTGTAACCTATGAGTTGTAAAAGTCCTGCAGGCTTCGAGTAGATAGTGAGGAATCCAGCAGTCTGACTTTTACGCAGAGAGTACAGGACCTTGGGAGAGAATGTTTATGCCTGGATGTTTTGTCTTCTGGTATGTAAACAAGCACTGAGCAGAACCTTCTGGATTTGGAGCCCAAATAGAAAGTGGATTTATATTTGTAGATGAAAGGTTGTCCTGTGGTCAGGTAGATGGTGAAAATGGACCCTTCTGGTACGTTACATGATGACACTGGTTGTTTTCTGCATGAGAACCCTAACCTTAACATCTCAGAGGCTTTATGGTGGAGCCATGCATGGACTCTGTTGTGTTACCAAATTCTAATGGATCAAGCAGAAACTGAGAGGGACAGGATGAAATGAGGAAACATACAAATGACTTATTTGCTGATGTAAGAACAAAATGATCCCTCATGGATGTTAAACTGAGTTAAACTCCCAGAGATGTTTCTGAGCAGAAGTCCGAGACTTTCTACAGACACCATGTTTTCAAACAGCCCAAGTCCCCAAACCAGCCTCTTCAAGCTAGCCGGTCTCCACCCTGGACCACAACTCCCAGCATGCTCCTCGCGGGGATTCCCGCTACGTCACACTTACGTCACTAACCGTGACTATATACGGAAGTCGCCTCTCCAGCTTACAACTCAGTCATCGTTTGTTCAGATCCATGATCTGAGTATCCAGTCAACCTATCCATCCGACGAACTGTCTACTCACAGTAAGAGCTCTTACGTACCTCTGGAAAAACCCAGCATCTCCGTGTCACTTCATTGACGCTCGGGGATTCCTAGATCAAACCGCTAGCCGGTGTTGTGCCATAAATCGACTGTCTGCCAAAAAATGATTAGCCACCGAGGGATCGCGCACGGTTAGGGTAATTGCATTTCTAGACGGAATTCCCCAGGATTTCGCTTTAAAATTCAGCATATCTAGCAATATGGACATTGAGAAGGCAGAGATAACCTCAGCCGGTACTTAAACAGATGTTTATCGCGGATATTAGTTTTTCCAGTTCGGAAGTTGTTTTAAGTGTTGCTATTTGTCTTAAACGTTCACAATGAGGATATATTAATCATTTTTGCAATATTTGTGATTGAAAGATGGTTTGTGGTAAGAACTGGCTATCTTTATGCTACAGCCTTGATACTAAAAATAAATACAATGTAAAATTTTGGCGCCCTGTATTGAATGTAAACGTTGTATAAATGGAAATAAACAATTCTCCAGCTATTTGATTTCCCCCCCTTCCTTTTAGTCCACTTGACATGGAGCCACAGTTAACTAGTTTGGGGCACATTTTTACTTGAAAAATAGTATTTTTTTTTTGGCAGCCAGTCGATTTATGGCACAACACCGGCGTATCACCGACGCTAGAATTTCCGCGTCTGTAAAGCCACGTTCGCTACAGCTCAACTCCCTGTATCCAGTCGGACAAAGCATGGATGGAGAGATGCTGGGAATGTGATCCTACAAAATAAAAGCATGTGACTTGTCCCTATTTGACACCAAGTCGTCTGAAGGTGAATTTTGATCTCAGGAACATTTACCAGAAACCAGCAGCTTTACTTTATTTATAAACCAAACAGTCAGAGGCTGAAGATGATGGAGTTTAGATTTCTGATTCTGAATAGTTGAATCTCAGATTGAGGAGGAGCAATGCGGTTTTCGTCCTGGCCGTGGAACTGTGGACCAGCTCTTTACCCTTGCAAGGGTGATGGAGGGGGCATGGGAGTTTGCCCAACCAATCCACGTGTTTTGTGGATTTGGAGAAGGCTTATGACCATGTCCCCAGGGGCACCCTGTGGGGGACGCTCCAGGAGTATGGGGTGGGTGGCATTTTATTAAGGGCCATTCAGTCCCTTTACCAGAGGAGCGTGAGTTTGGTCCGCATAGCCGGTAGTAAGTCAGACCTGTTCCCGGTGAGGGTTGGACTCCTCCAGGGCTGCCCTTTATCACCGGTTCTGTTCATTACCTTTATGGACAGAATTTCTAGGCACAGCCGTGGTGTGGAGTGTGTCGAGTTTGGTGGCAGGAGAATCTCGTCTCTGCATTTTGTGGATGATGTGGTCCTCCTAGCTTCATCCAGCTCTGACCTTCAGCTCTTGCTGGGTAGGTTCGTGGCCGAGTGTGAAGCGGCTGGGATGAGGATCAGCACCTCCAAATCTGAGACCGTGGTTCTCGACCGGAAAAGGGTGGCTTGCCACCTCCAGGTCGGGAGAGAGGTCCTACCTCAAGTGGAGGAGTTTAAGTATCTCGGAATCTTGTTCACGAGTGAGGGTAGGAGGGATCGGGACATCGACAGGCGGATTGGTTCGGCGTCTGCAGTGATGCGGATGCTGAGCCGATCTGTCGTGGTGAAGAGGGAGCTGAGCCAGAAAGCCAGGCTCTCGATTTACCGGTCGATCTACGTCCCAATCCTCACCTATGGTCATGAGCTTTGGGTAATGACCGAAAGAACGAGATCGCAGATACAAGCGGCCAAAATGAGTTCCCTCCGTAGGGTGGCCGGGCTCAGCCTTAGAGATAGGGTGAGGAGCTCGGACATTCGGGAGGGACTCGGAGTAGAACCGCTGCTCCTCCGGATCGAAAGGAGTCAGTTGAGGTGGTTTGGGCATCTGGTCAGGATGCCTCCTGGACGCCTCCCTGCGGAGGTGTTTCGGGCATGTTCTGACGGCAGGAGGCCCCCGGGTCGACCCAGGACACGTTGGAGAGGTTACATCTCCAATCTGGTCCGGGAACGCCTTGGGGTCCTGCCAGAGGAGCTGGTGGAGGTGGCCGGGGAGAGGACGGTCTGGAGCTCCCTAGTTGGGATACTGCCCCCGCGACCCGGACCCGAATAAGCGGAGGAAGACGACGACGACGATTCTGATCATCTGAGAGGATGTTACAGACATTAAATGTCCAGTGTGGAGAATTCACTGACCTTCATCGGCGATGGTTTCATCAGACATCTTCTCACTGACTGATGTGATCTGAGTTACAACATGTTTGTGTTTCAGAGGTCGGAACCACAGATGGAGAGCAGAACCTCCAGGACCCAGCTGTCTGTCTATGAAGAGTGACCGGTCCATCGGTCTTCCTGTAAACCTCAGTGGACCTGGACCTTCAGACCCAAAGTAAGAAAACAGTTCTAACTGGTTCTTCTGACTCCTCAGACAGAAAAACATGATTTCTGGTAGAACTGATGAACTAGTGGAGCTCTGACCAAGTAGAGCAGGTGAACATGTAGCTGTTATCAGAGCATCAGAGCTTTTATTGTTTAGTCTGAAGATGTTTCTCCAGAATCACAGCAGGATGAATGTTTCATGTGAAAAGTCCCACATCTGGAGCTCTATGCAGGCTGTTTGCTGCCAACAAGAAGCTTCCAGAACATCAGGAAGAGTCCAGCTGTTTGTCGGTGATGAAAAGAGGGCTGATTAGAGGGAGGAAGAGAAATTCTGTTGGTGAGAAGGACCAGCTGTCCTGCTGTTTTTGTTCCAATGAGGTTCTGCTGCAGCATTCAGATCTGCTCTGTGCCTCATGTCTCAGCAGATGTTGGTCTGCAGGAGGTTCTAGAAGAACATCGGCTCAGTCTGAGGAGCAGATGTGAACGTGTGACTGAAGGAAGTGATGAACCAGGAAGTAGAACCCTCCTGAACAGGATCTACGCTGAGCTCTACATCACAGAGGGACAGAGTGAAGAGGTTAATACTCAACATGAGGTGAGACAGCTGGAGACCACTTCCAGGACCAAGAGGCTCCATGATGCTCCAATCAGGTGCCAGGACATCTTTAAAGCCTCACCTGATGAAGACGAAGACACAGACAAAGACCAACATAAAGATAAAGTTAAAGCCATCAGAGTGGTTCTGACCAACGGCGTCGCTGGAGCTGGAAAAACCTTCTCAGTGCTGAAGTTCACTCTGGACTGGGCCGAGGGCTTGGAGAACCAGGATGTCCATGTGGTGCTTCTGCTTTCCTTCAGGGAGCTGAACTTGATCAGAGATGAGCAGCACAGTCTTCTCACGCTGCTCCGTGTTTTCTATCCAACACTCCAGAAGATCCCAGCAAAGAAGCTGGCTGTCTGGAACCTTCTCTTCATCTTTGATGGTCTGGATGAAAGCAGACTTTCACTGGACTTCAGCAGCAGTCAGCTGGTTTCTGGGGTCACACAGAGGTCATCAGTCCAGGTGCTGCTGACAAGCCTCATCAAGGGGAACCTGCTTCCCTCGGCTCTGGTCTGGATCACCTCCAGACCTGCAGCAGCCAATCAGATCCCTCCTTCATGTGTCCACAGGGTCACAGAAGTACGAGGCTTCACTGACTCCCAGAAGGAGGACTACTTCAGGAGGAGGTTCAGTGATGAAGAGCTGTCCAGCAGAATCATCTCCCACATCAAGACCTCCAGGAGCCTCCACATCATGTGTGGAATCCCAGTCTTCTGCTGGATCACTGCTACAGTTCTGGAGAACATGTTGACTACAGAGCAGAGAGGAGAGCTGCCCAAGACCATGACTGACATGTACTCACACTTCCTGTTAGTTCAGACCAAGAGGAAGAACAAGTACCATGAAGGACCTGAGACCAGTCCTCAGGAGCTGATGGAGGCTGACAGGGAGCTTCTTCTGAAGCTGGGGAGGCTGGCGTTGGAACATCTGGAGAAAGGAGACATCATGTTCTACCAAGAAGACCTGGAGCAGGCTGGTCTGGATGTCTCAGAGGCCTCTGTGTTCTCAGGAGTTTGTACAGAGATCTTCAGAAGAGAGTGTGTGATCTTCCAGAAACCAGTCTACTGCTTTGTTCATCTGAGCGTTCAGGAGTTTCTGGCTGCAGTCTACATGTTCCACTGCTTCACCAGCAGGAACACAGAGGTGATGGAGGACTTCCTGGGGGGAGACTACGGAGACTCACCTCTGGAGGACTTCCTGGGAGGAGACTACAGCGACTCACCTCTGGAGGACTTCCTGAATAGAGTAATGGAGAAATCCCTCAGCAGTGAAAACGGCCATCTGGACCTGTTTGTCTGCTTCCTTCATGGCCTCTGTGTGGAGTCCAACCAGAGACTCTTAGGAGGTCTGCTGGGTCGGACACAAATCAGTCCAGGAACCATCCAGAGGACCATCAACAACCTGAAGGAGATGAACAGTGATGGAATCTCTCCAGACAGAAGCATCAACATCTTTCACTGTCTGATGGAGATGAAGGACCTCTCAGTTTATCAGCAGGTCCAAAAGTTCCTGAAGTCAGAGAACAGATCATGGAGACTGTCAGAGGTCCAGTGTTCAGCTCTGGCCTACATGCTGCTGGTGTCAGAGGAGGTTGTGGATGAGTTGGACCTACATAAGTACAACACATCACCAGGGGGACGACTGAGACTGATTCCAGCTGTGAGGAACTGCAGAAAGTTCAGGTGAGTCCAGATGTTCTGATGATGATCATCAGTAGTTATTAGAGCTGCTGAGTTTAAACAGAAAATAAGTTTAGTGAATGAAAAAGACAGAAAAGTGAATCAGAAGGTTTAGAGTCTGATTCTGGACAGATCATCTCCCTGCAGCCTTTCTCTTTGTTGAGTCAGAACCTGGTTTGTTTGGTTCCTTTTTCAAGAACAAACAACAAACACATCCCTGCTTTCTGATGGAGTGTGTCCACACACACCTCACTGTTCCACTCTAGAGCTCTGAGTCCCAGTTCTGCTGGAGCTCCGATGGAGTAAAACTGGACACCAGCAGCATGTTCCTGCATGTGAACAGTTGGAGCTGACGGGAACAGGAAGCTAAGAGATCATCTCTGTTCACTGAGCTGAACTCAGTCTAAAGGCTCTGAGCTCAGATGGAAACTAGAAGAGTCCAAGTGTTTTTCTACAGCAGACGTGTTGATTCTGACTCTGGATCAGATCCTGCTGACAGACTGTGGACATGATGGATGTTCCCTCCTTCATCTGCAGATTAAAGGTGTGAAAGACACTGAACAGATTCACTGGCTCATGTCAGACAGTCAGATGGAGCAGATGAAGCACAGATATGAAGAGCAGATGTTCATCAGATGATGACATCACTGTTTAGTCATCATCTGCTTTCAGGCTGTTTATCAGACAGATTCTCTGATTTTATTACAACCGACTTTAACTTTTCTCTCATCACAGAGTTGCTGGTCCTGGTTCTGGTTCTGGATTCTCCGAGACTGACTGTGAAGTTGTGTCCTCAGCTCTGAAGTCCAACCCGTCCCATCTGACAGAACTGGACCTGAGTTACAATGGCCTGTCTGGTTCTAGAGTGGTTCTGAGTTCTGGACTGGAGAGTCCTAACTGTAGACTGGAGGTTCTGAGGTCAGTTCTCTGCAGCTGTTGGAGGTTTTCTGTGTTTGACCTTTAACCCCTTAGCCCACATCTGCTCCAAATGCAACCAAAATGCCGCATGTACCTGAGGGATCATCCACAACCAAAAAAATGATTGTTATGGGAATCATCTGTGCACGGCTCTCTCAGGCCTTGAATCAGGTAGAAAGAGCAATCCTGTCTGTAAATCCCAGCAAGCTTCATTCACCACACTAATATACAGGTGCTGGCCAGTAAATTAGAATATCATCAAAAGGTTGAAAATATTTCAGTAATTCCATTCAAAACGTGAAACTTGTACATTATATTCATGCAATGCACACAGACCAATGTATTTCCAATGTTCATTACATTTAAATTTGATATTTATAGGTGACAACCAATGAAAACATCAAATCTGGTATCTCAGAAAATTAGAATATTCTAAAGACCAATGAAAAAATGTTTGTTTCTCTAATGTTGGCCAACTGAAAAGAATGAACATGAAAAGAATGTGCATGTATAGCACTCAATACTTAGTCGGGGCTCCTTTTGCCTCAATAACTGCAGTAATGCGGCGTGGCATGGACTCGATCAGTCTGTGGCACTGCTCAGGTGTTATGAGAGCCCAGGTTGCTCTGATAGTCGTCTTCAGCTCCTCTGCATTGTTGGGTCTAGCGTATTGCATCCTCCGCTTCACAATACCCCATAGATTTTCTATGGGGTTAAGGTCAGGCGAGTTTGCTGGCCAATCAAGGACAGGGATACCATGGTCCTTGAACCAGGTGCTGGTGGTTTTGGCACTGTGTGCAGGTGCCAAGTCCTGTTGAAAGGTGAAGTCTGCATCCCCATAAAGTTGGTCAGCAGCAGGAAGCATGAAGTGCTCTAAAACTTCCTGGTAGACGGCTGCATTGACCCTGGACCTCAGGAAACAGAGTGGGCCAACACCGGCAGATGACATGGCACCCCACACCATCACTGACGGTGGAAACTTTACACTGGACCTCATGCAACGTGGATTCTGTGCTTCTCCGCTCTTCCTCCAGACTCTGGGTCCTTGATTTCCAAAGGAAATGCAGAACTTGCTTTCATCAGAAAACATAACTTTGGACCACTCAGCATCAGTCCAGTCCTTTTTGTCCTTGGCCCAGGCGAGACGCTTCTTGCGCTGTTTCTTGTTCAAGAGTGGCTTGACACACGGAATGCGACACCTGAATCCCATGTCTTTCATGAGTCTCCTCGTGGTGGTTCTTGAAGCGCTGACTCCAGCTGCAGTCCACTCTTTGTGGATCTCCCCCACATTTTTGAATGGGTTTGTCGTCACAATTCTCTGCAGGGTGCGGTTATCCCTAGAGCTTGTACACTTTTTTCTACCACATTTTTTCCGTCCCTTCGCCTGTCTGTTAATGTGCTTGGACACAGAGCTCTGCGAACTGCCAGCTTCTTTAGCAATCACCTTTTGTGTCTTGCCCTCCTTGTGCAAGGTGTCAATGATTGTCTTTTGGACAGCTGTTAAGTCAGAAGTCTTCCCCATGATTGTGGTGCCTTCAAAACAAGACTGAGGGACCTTTTAAAGGCATTTGCAGGTGTTTTGAGTAAATCAGCTGATTAGAGTGGCAGCAGGTGTCTTCTATATTCAGCCTTTTCAGAATATTCTAATTTTTTGAGATACCAAATTTGGAGTTTTCATTAGTTGTCACTTATGAATATCAAATTTAAATGTAATGAACATTGGAAATACATTGGTCTGTGTGCATTGCATGAATATAATGTACAAGTTTCACGTTTTGAATGGAATTACTGAAATATTTTCAACCTTTTGATGATATTCTAATTTACTGGCCAGCACCTGTAGAAAGCATTAATCCCACGTGTCCATCAGAAGCTTTTCCCACTGGTAACAGACTTAGATTAGCTGGACTACAGGAGGCCATTAGGGGGCGCTGACACCAAGCCTGCACCTTTAGGGTGGCTCGTCCCCAAGAGACACACTGAAAGCATGGATCATGTATGAGCTCACCATGTTCAGGTCAACACACCTGCTTCTTACTTTAGATCATCTGGGATTAAAAGCAGGATGTGGCACAAGATCATGTTCAGATGATTAGTTTCATTTGTTTTAAAGCAGCCATAACCGGCCTGTTGTTGCTGAGTAATAAAATATTCATTTAGTTTATTTAGATGTTCTGTAACACTTTACAATAAGGGTCCCTTTATTCATACTTTTAGTGCATTATTAAGCATGAATAAACTATTAAATACAGTATTAACAACTGCTTAATATGAATGTTAATATGAAGTCATGCATTACTAAACAGATAGCAGCACTGACACTCGTCCCAGTGCAGCTGTGTGTGTGTGTGTGTGTGTGTGTGTGTGTGTGTGTGTGTGTGTGTGTGTAACTGGGATCACTACTGAGTGGTTTAAGGACGTTTTTACCCACAATGCTAGCGTGTCCCATTCACTTAGTGTTTTATGCTAAGCTAAAGCTAAAGGAGTACAGCCGGGTCAGGAGAATGACTGGGCTGGTAACGTTGGTTACGTATTGTAACCCCAGATTCTATGAGTCTAGTCGCAGCCCTTAAGCTAGCTGCTATTGGAAGGATGATCTCCGCATCAGCCAATCATGAAGAGCTTAAATGTACGCCCTCCAATAGTGGGCCCCCTCGTGGTATATAACCGCAGTGACCCCACTGCTCACCTCCAATGGCTCTTATTCCCATCATAACCAGTGGGGCCAGTGGCTTAAGGGCTGCGACTAGACTCATAGAATCTGGGGTTACAATACGTAACCAACGTTCTATTTCGTCTAGTCTTAGCCCTTAAGCTAGCTGCTATTGGAATAAGGCGCAGCTGGATGGGTTTACGCCCCACTGGTTAACACAACCAATGGACACACCCAATCAAATCTCCTCTAGTGGGGGACGTTCAGCCTCAGACCAGGCCTAAAGACTGAGGCAGGCACGATAAGAGAGGGGCCCCCACTAAAAAACATCATCCACAAGAGGATAAAATCCATCTCAGCAAGGCCAATGAGGTGCCATAAGCATTCATTTAGCCTGCTGGGGTCCAAGCACTGAACGAATGATGGAACCTGAAGACACATCTCGTAAATAATAACGAGTAAAGGAACAGGGTGAAGCCCATGAAGCAGCCTGACAAATGTCTTCCATTGACACACCACTGAGGAGCGCCATCGAAGAGGAAATCCCTCTGGCCGAGTGAGCCCTGAGTGCCTCAGGGGGATCCCGCCCTGATGATGTGTAAGCGAGGGAAATGGCGTCCCACAGCCAGCGTGAAAGGCGCTGGGCCGACAGCGCCTGACCAAGGGAAGACTCCCTGTAGTGCACAAACAGGTTTTGTGAGCGACGAATCCCTGAAGTGCGTGACACATATCGTGCAAGCGCGCGCACCGGGCAGAGAAGGTGAGAAGCCGCCTCCTCCTCAGAATTATGGGGAGGAGGAAAAAGTCCAGCCAATGAAATTGACCTGGATTTGAAGGAAGCATTAATGCTTTTGGGCACAAAGGCTGGGTTGGGGCATAAAACAGCAGACCCGCCATCCTCCCGGATCCTGAGGCATGCGGGAGCCACTGAGAGGGCGGTTAGGTCACTCACTCTCTTAACTGATGCTAGCGCCAGCAGCAATGCAGTTTTAAGCGACAGGAACTTGAGTGAGACCTGGTCCAAGGGTTCAAATGGAGCTTCAGATAAGCCGTGCAGAACCACCGTTAGATCCCATTGGGGAAAAAGCGGGCGGGACACAGGTCTGTTCCTTCTGACACCTTTTAGAAAACGTTTTGTGAGGGGATGATTGAAAACAGATCTATCTCCAAAACCCTGATGACATGATGAGATAGCTGCAGCATATGTCTTAACAGTGCTGAATGCGAGGCCCCTGTCCATCAGTATCTGCAAAAACGATAGAACATCCGCCAGCTGGCAGGAGAGCGCTTGAACATTCCGTTCTGCGCACCAGTTCTGGAAAGCTGCCCATTTAGCAGCGTAAGAGGCAATGGTAGAGGGCGCCCGCGCACTCTGAATCGTGGCCACCACATCATGCGGCAGCCCAGAAGCCTCTAAGCGTGACCGCTCAGCGGCCAGACCCACAGCCGTTGGCCTATTTCCTGAGGATGTTTGATGATCCCATCCGCCTGGAGAAGGGCGTCCGCCCTCCACGGGAGCCTCCACGGGGAGCCGGACACTAGCGCTTGCAGGTCCGGAAACCATGACGCGGACACGCGCCTGGGAGCCACCAGAATCACCGAGAGCTGTTCCGACCGAATTCGGTCCAGGAGACGGGGAATCAGAGGGACTGGTGGAAACGCGTAAAGGAGCGTTCGAGGCCAGGGCTGGTGTGAGAAGGCGTCCGCCCCGAGCGGGGGTCCGTCCCGGGGACTCAGGGAAAACCACAGGCGACACTGAGCGTTTTCGCGAGCCGCAAACAGATCCACAGACGGTTCCCCGAACCTGATCCAGATCTGTGATATCAGTGCAGGATGTAGACGCCAGTCGGAGTCGCGGGGTCCCCCTCTCGACAGGATGTCTGCTGCTACATTCAGTACCCCCGGAATGTAGATGGCTCTGATGGACAGCAGGTGGACATGTGTCCAACACAGTAAATCTGTGGCGACACGCAACAGTGGGAGGGATCGAACTCCCCCTTGGCGATTTATGTAGGCTGCCGCTACCCGGTTGTCTGTGTGAACTTCGACATGACGGCCCTCGAGAAGGGCAGCGAAGTGTCTGATCACATTCCTCACTGTCATAAGCTCCAACACATTTATGTGCTCGTGCGTGTGGGAGGGCCAGCGATCTGCCACCGTGTGGGACAAGCACGTGCCCCCCCACCCCGACAGTGACGCATCCGTAAACACAGATACGTGTGACGCAGGACGTTCGATGGGAACCCCGCGTGAGAGGATGCAGGGGTTCCCCCAGTGAGCGAGGTCCCCGCCCACTGAAGGGGGAATCCTCAACATACGTCTCTTCTGACGTATTGGGTGTACCCGGAGGCGGACGAACCAGCGTTGCAAGCGCCTCGTGCGCAGCAAACCTAGCGGCACTACTGAATGGGCTGCGGACATCATGCCCAGTTGTTTCATGACTAACCGGGCTCTCACGATCTTGCGGGGTTGAACACGGGAGATCACCGTGGAGAGATCTGCCGCTCTTGCAGGCGACAAACGTGCTCTCATTAGGGAGGCGTCCAACTCCACCCCGAGATACACAATCGACTGGGATGGAAGGATGGAGCTCTTTTCCCAGTTTATAGAAAACCCTAGGGTTGACAGATGCTCTGTCAACCTCCTGGTTTGCTGTGACGCCTCGTCCTCGGACCGAGCGCACAGGAGAAGATCGTCCAGGTAAAATAAGACCCTCATTCCCTCCGTGCGCAGTGGCTGCAGCGCGGTCTCCAGACATTTGGAGAAAGTGCGCGGGGCTAGCGAGTAGCCGAAAGGGAGGCGATTGAACTGATATTGAACTCCCTTGAACGAAAAACGCAGAAACTTCCGGTGGTTTGGAACTACTGGTATGTGGAAGTATGCGTCTTTCAGGTCGATTGACGTGAACCAATCCCCGGGGCGCACATATTCCAGGACTTGTCTCATCGTTAACATGCGGAAATGCATTACTGCTATGGAGCAGTTGAACAGGGACAGGTCGAGAATCGGCCTCATTCCTCCCGACTTCTTCGGTACTACGAAGTAGCGGGAGTAGAAACCCGAGAGTTCTTGTCCGCGAGGGACTCGGGAAATAGCGTCTTTGGACAGAAGTTCCCGTAGCTCCAGCTCTAGCGCCTGAGACTGTACTTGCGATGTGAACGTCGTCTCCACGATCCCGTTGAAGGGAGGTGGAGTGGCCTGAAAATGAAGTGTGTGACCGCAATGAATGGTGTCCGAAATCCATTTGCTCATGATGCAAAGGCGGCGCCACTCGTGCGCGCGTTCCGACAATGGACGCGTGTGCGCGGTCACGTGAACAACGTCTGAGGGTTGTGCATGCGCCCTTACCGCCGTCGCCCGTACCAGAGAACTGGGGGCGACCCATGGAGGGCTGCGCTCGAAAGGGCAAGTGCGAAACAGCTGGAACAGGCTGGTCCACACCGCGGAGCGTGGAGTCCGAGAGTGAAGGACGAGTGGGAGCCGGGCCTGTGCACGGGGGCGACAGAGTGCTAGCGGATGGAGCCGCGCACTGTGCCGCCGCGCGTGGTCGAGACAGCGACATGACATCCCGCCCCACCCAACGGCGTGGGGAGAGCGGGACGAGTTGGGCCTGGCCGGATGCTGGGGCCAGAGCGCAAATGGAGTGCACCCTTACGGCTGGCCGTGTATTATGACTACCTGCAGGAACATGTGTGCGTGCAGCAGTGCTTGGTGTGGGGAACATGTGTGAAAACTCGGCAGAGGATTCTGCGGAGGACTGTAGGATTGAGCTCTTTGAGTGACGTTTTTTGGGTTTTATTTCAAAACCAACAACATCCGAACAATCAGCAACACACACATTCCCCCCAAAGAGTCACTTCCGTGGCTGCTTTCGGCGAGGCTCCAGCACCTGGGACTGCCAAGACGGCGTCTGCTGGCCCCGCCGGAACCGTTGTCCGCCATCTCGCTGGTCCCGCTGATGTGGAGCCGAAGCGGGAGGCCGGCTCCGTGGAGCGGGCGGTGCAGCTGGACGTCCGAAGCTTCCGCGCCGTTCGTCCCATCCTCTGGCTGAACGGCCGGAGTGCGAGGCTGACCGAGGGTGGACCAGGTCTCGCACCGTAGCCGATAGTTCGGCCGTCTTCTGAGCCCTCTCAATGACGCCCCTAAGATGGGGACCAAACAGAACATCGGTGGTGATGGGGCCATCCAGCATCTCCCTTTGCAGATGTTCCGGAATGGAGGGCAGGGCCTTCAGCCAGATCGCTCGCTGGATGAGGGTCTGCCAGGCAGCGATGCGAGCAGAACCGGTGAGCACAGCAGCACACAGATTGAGGATGGCATCAGCAGTCTTAGTTATGACGGCTTTCGACTCCTCGGGAGCTTCCAGCTCCTCCATCATCTTGGAGACGCCGAAGGCAAGAAGGGCGATGTTATTCCCTGCAGCGCCGGTCTGAAAGGCACACTGATGTGCGCGGTCGGTGAGCCGCGTCAGCAGCTGATCATGTTTTGAAGCGGGAACAGCTCGCGGGCCAGCGAGGTGGTTCTTGGCGCCGAACAGCGAGGCCAAATCCGGCTCTAGTGGAGGAACGGACGGCCAGCCTTGGTCGGAAAACCCCTCGACCTTGGTGATGGGCGCATATGTGGAGACTGGCGCCTTGAGCTTGGCAGGCTCGGAGAAGGCGGCAGACCAGCAGCTCAGCGGGGAAGCGCGGCCAGACAGGGTCTGGACAGCGTGTCTGAGTTGCCCCGAAAATTCCCAAGTGGTGCTCGCTGCAGAACCACAAAGGCGGAGCTGCACCAGAAGGTGGAGCTGCACCAGAGTCAGCCCCGCCCATTCCAGAATCAGCCCCGCCCATTCTATCGGAGTCAGTCCAATTCCTTCCAGTTGTCAGACTTTATAGCATTCTGGAACCAAAGAGGGTGTTATAGCTAAAAAATGCAAGATTGAGGAGGGAGTTGAGAAGTGAATTGAAAAGTTTTTGTAAAGGTTCCATATAATTAAAAATCTAACTTTTGGAACTTTTAATCATGTTATATTGTCATTTCCTCATAAGAAACACGCCAAAGCCATTTTTGGCCTCATTCATGCATTTTCTTCCCATCTCAGCTTCAATTTGGTCTCTTCCCCCAAAGCGGGTCTGGTCTTGGTTCTCAAATCTGGATATTCTGTGAATTTTCTGACAAATTATTTCTGAAATGACTTCTACTGAGACACCGCCAGAAAAATCATACATCCCATCTACAAAGACACACCAAATAACGTAATAAAATGTAACGCCACTTAGTTTTTATCAGATGTGGTGGTGTAGTGGTGATGGTGTCAGGTTGACATTCAGTTTTGCGCAGGTTTGCCTCCCAGCAGTGGAAATATTCTATAATCTCTTTTCCTCATTTCTAGCTACACTTGCCAGTACTATGTTTACAACGATTTATTGGTATGCCGTTTAACATATGACTAATGTGTTTTTTTTAATTTATTCATTCGTTTATTTAGCCAGTGTGAGTCCATCTGTGAGCAGAGTTTCAACTAAAATGCTGTTTAGGAACGACCAAATTCAAAGAACTTGTAGAGACATAAATATTTTGCTGAAAATGAACATTAAAACTAAAATATGAACAAATTAAATGTTTCAGCTGGCTGAATAGATTGTTGCCGACCCCACCGAGAATCGAACCAGCATCAGCTGAGGGGAAAGCAAATCGTAAGTCAGACGATCTTGTCACTGGACTACCAGAACCCACAGGGAGAGGGTACATGCTGTTGTACAGGACTTTTGTTAGAGCGGCTGTGGGCAGATAGTCGCTACGAGAAACCTTTTTATTTCGGGATATATTCAGACTTTGTCATGTAGCAAGTTATATTTATCTTGTTTAATTGGAGCACAGAACATAGCATTAACGACTGTAAACTAGTAACAGCCGTAATTCATGTGGGTCAGGTCAGTTTGCGATAAAGTTGAAAACAAAAACGGAAGTCAGTGGGCTAGGCTGAGTTTGCGGGAATGGGCGGGGTTGACTCTGGTGCAGCTCCACCTTATGGTGCAGCTCCGCCTTTGTAGTTCTGCAGCGAGCACCCTCTCAAAATTCCCGCCAAATCATCCGCTTCAGGCAGGGCCGGTTCTGACACAGCTAGCCCCTTGCGGGCTGCTGACGCAGAAATGATGGCGGGCAGCTCCTGGAGCAGTGCTCTTACTGCTGGCAGGGAGGAGCGAGAAGCCACTGGGGCAGAAGGACCCGCTGAGCGAAGCTCGTCGACCTCCGTTATGTCCAGGAGGGATTTCGCCTCATCGTAGTTTTCGCTGTCAGTGACGTCATCCAGCCGGTTGAAGCCAGCCGGCTCCTGACCGGCGTCGAAGAAAACCAAAGCCTTGTCCAGCGGGTAGGAGTCAGCCACCGGAAATTCTTCGTCGGCGGCGGGAGTGAAGTACTCGACCCGGCGAATCTTCTCCGCCACGGGCAGAGCGGCACAGAACGGGCACGAGGCCTGCGGGGTCAAGGCCAGGCCAGCGTGGTGAGCCCCGAGACAGACCTCACACTTAGCGTGCAGGTCGCCGCTGGAAATGGAGCCCGTCTGGCAGGTCGGGCAGGGTCTGGTGTCGCTGGACATGGCTGGTAAGTCGTCTTCGGATAATTTGTTCTTTTGAGATAATATTTGCTCTTTAATAAAGCTCTCAAGCTTGGCATGAAGAGAAAAAGGAGGTGAGCAGTGGTTATATACCACGAGGGGGCCCACTATTGGTGGGCGTACATTTAAGCTCTTCATGATTGGCTGATGCGGAGATCATCCTTCCAATAGCAGCTAGCTTAAGGGCTAAGACTAGACGAAATAGAACAAATAGTTTTTTCCCACTTATCTAACTCTGGGAAATATGGCAACAGACAACATTTAAATTTTGGGTGCCATAGGACAGTTAATAGTTAATATCAGGAACATTAATAAGGGATCCTTGTTTATTAATGCTTAATAAAACACTAAAAATATTTCTAAAGGGCCTCTATTGTAGTTCATGTTTCTGTTTTAACCTGCATCCTGCTGGCTTCAGCTCTCTGCTTTTATTCTTTATTCAGGTTGAGGAGATGCTGGTTGTCGGAGATCAGCAGTTCTTCTCTGGTCTCAGCTCTGAAGTCCAACCCGTCCCATCTGAAAGAACTGGACCTGAGCTGGAACCACCTGTCTGATTCTGGACTGAAGGATCTCTGTGGTTTCCTGGAGAGTCCAGACTGTAGACTGGAGGTTCTGAGGTCAGTTCTCTGCAGCTGTTGGAGGTTTTTCTGTGTTTAAGAAACTAAAATCATTCACTGATTCTTCAGAATTTATTTATTTACAAAAACTTTTTTACTCCAAAACTTTAATCTGAACTTTTACTTTTGTTCAGAACTAGTGAGGTAGATTTATGCTACATGCATTAAAATGATCAATAAGATGTGATATTCCATATAGATAGGAATTATCAATCTAAATGGTCTTTGAATATTTGATTTAATATTACCTTTAGGTTCTTTGTCTATTCAGAGAACACACACTTCATATTATTTCAGCCAGAGTCAAGAATATAGTTTATAAAATGAATATAATTCTATATTTCTAAACTAATGATTACATGACAATGAATGATTGACTGAATGCAAGCTAGTTGTTGTAGCGTGTTTCAGTACATGAAATGACCTAAAGAAGACTGGTGCACCAGCACAGGTGTTCTCTTTGTCCAGCTTAATGATGACACATCCTTCTGCACTCACCATCCAGCAGGGGGCAGTCACAAACTCTTACCTAAATGGGTAAAAGCAACACTTTGTCATTCTGCAACATAAAATCATTACAAAATTCACACTATATTTATTCTTTATTACCAATAAACACCTCGGGGTACCTCCGGCCTCAGGGTGACCCTGGCTCAGCAGAAAAACCATCACCCTGAAACACAGAGGTTGTGGGTTCAACTCCAGCTTCAACTGCTTTTGTCAAATTACCCCCCCCCCCCCCCCCCAACACACACACACACACACACAGAAACAATCCTTACAGTTTGACTCTAGCAGGTGGAGTGTTGGCTCCAGCTAGAAGGTCCATACCTACCTGCCTTTACCTGGACACAATGACTGCACAAATAACAGCTTTAAGCAGGCGCAACCATTGTGGCTGTAAATAAATCACCTTGTTTATCAGGTTTAAAAAAATCTGGGAAACGTTAGCTGTAGTCTCAGATTTCATGATCAATTCTGTGTCCATTTTGCAGCGTTTCAATGAAACTCACAGCCATAGTTGGTTAAAAAGCCAAAACAAGCAGTGAGGATACTTACCAGGCTGAACAACTTGTACCAAATCAACACGTCTCATTAGGAAAACGAGTGTAGACCATGTTTTATTTCTTCTTGTTTTTAAAAGTGCAAGACAGCGATCGTGCTGTTTTTTCTTTACCGATCTTCATTGAACAATCACAAACTCTTCCCGCTGTTGTTTTGAAAGGGAACATCCTGGCTTTTATTTGTCTCCGGTCACCTGTGTTGCATCCAGGTAAAAGCCATGAACTGGGGCTGCGCGAGGCCAAGAGACAAAAGCAGGCAGCTGCAGCCACAGACCTCATCATGTAGACCCGGAAACCGCAGATTCACTCCTGCTGCAGATTCATGCTTGTTTTTCAGACAGCGCCCTCTGAAGGATGAGTGTTTAGCTGCAACTGTTGTTTCACAACATACCTATTCACGTCAAACTTTAGATATTAAAAGGTAGACATTTACAGTCAACATTTTATTACTGGTGAAGATTATTACATCCAACTAGTAAAAGTTTTTTTTCCATTGAACTTAAATAAGTTTTTGGCGTTCCTTAGCGACACATAATGATACTTTTGTAAAGCACACCTATAGATCAACCACCCTATAACCCAGTGGTGGTTGAAAAACCAAAGATATCTAAATGGTGTTGACTAAATAGTGTCTGAATAATTCCCAATTGTTGTATCTGCTGTATTTTACATCTGCTTCCATTAGAACAGTGAAATACTGTTAAAATGATGTGATGCCATTAAATGTACCCAAACTTACATGTAAATGACATGTTTTAGAGGTATTTTACTGCTGATTTTACGTTAATGTGCTATGGGAATTACAGCAAAGGCTGACAGTGCAGAGAAGTTAGCTCTTAATGTTCAGTGAGAATGTTATTACACATTTATGTGCAGTGAGAATGCTATTACACATTTATATGAAGTGACAATGTTATTACACATTTATGTGCAATGAGAATGTTATTACACATTTATGTAAAGTGAATGTTACTACACTTATTTGCAGTGAGATTTTTATTACACATTTATATGCAGTGAGAATGCTATTACACATTTATGTGCAGTGTAAGGATTTAATCTACATCTATTTAATGAACCATAAGACATGAGATTCCATAGTGAATATGAAATCAATCTTATGGATCTTTGGGTACTTTTAACCAGAAGATTGGAACTTTTTATTGCAGGGATTATGTAACACTTCGTATTAACTGAGAGACAAGAGAAGAGAGAGTCTCCTTGAAAACGTTTAAGAAGATTTATTTCTAAACAATTTTAAACAAGACTAACTCTAAACTCTAAGTGATTAATGTATCTTGGTGTGAATGAAACGTGAGATGAATGGTGTATGTGTGAGTGATGTTGTCATCAGAACTCTCGTATCCGGAGAAGCAAGTCTGAGTGATGAAGTGATGTTTTGCTCTTAAGCTATGATCGCAGGTTCATAAACACATAAGACACCATTTTGTCGCTCCACACATACCCTTCAGGATGAGACCTCCGTACAGATTCAGAATGCCAGGTCCTCGGACCCCCCTTTGGTACCGGAGCCGATGAAACAGCGTCAGCAGTACAACAGGGATTCTTGGGAGTCTTGGGATTATCTCCAAGTAAAAAGCGACAGATGGTTGACAGCGTCAGATGGACCCGGAGAGTCAGTGAGTTCAGCTTGTATTCTGAAAGGAACCATTGCTTGGTTGGTTGGGCTGCATGGTGGCACAGTTGTTAGCACTGTTGCCTCGCAGCACGAAGGTTGCAGGTTCGAAACTCATCTGCAGCCTTTCTGCGTGGAGTTGCGTGTTCTCCCCATGCATGCGTGGGTTTCCTCCGGGTACTCCGGTTTCCCCCACAGATCACAACATGCCCTATAGTTTATAAAATTGTAAGTTGCTTTGGATAAAAGCGTTTGCCAAATAAATTAACATAAACATAAAGTGCAACAGATTTTATCCAGCTTGTTGGTTCTGTGCTTAAAAAGGAAGTCCGGGTGGCCGGTCCGATACTTCTCTTAGAATGCGGTGAACTGAACTTAAGATGGCGTGGGACTGGTTTTATTAATCTTGATGTTTTGATTTACAGTCGAATCAGAGTTGGACAGATTTAGAAACACCACAGAGACTATGCCACGCTTCAGAAAGGAAGGTTCCGATTGGATGAGTAAAAGCAATGTGTCATGCGTTTACATTACGTGAATCAGGATGTCTAGTGCAGCTAGATTAAAGTCATATTACTCATTAAAATTTACTAATCATAACATTGTCATTTCACAGATTGGTCAACATCTTATTGGCTAACACTTTGTTTGATTAGCTTTATTAAAAATAGAAAAAGTTCTTCTTTCTTCTCTTGGGCTGGAAAGGAAAACAGTTTAGAAGCAAATGCATGAGACCTTGAACAATATCTCATGCAGATTAGTTCCTGAGGAGAGGGGGTAAATGACTTTTAGGCGGAAAACAGTCATTTCATTCCCCCTTTTTATTAATTTTTTTAATGATTGCTATTACACATTTATATGAAGTGAGAATGTTATTCCACATTTATGTGCAGTGAGAATGTTATTACACATTTACGTGCAGTGAGAATGTTATTACACATTTATGTGAAGTGAATGTTAAAACATGAATTCAACAATTATTACGATGTGTGAATACACTGATAGATAAATTATTAAAATCAACAAATATGATTATATTAACTTATGAAGTTGTAAAGTAATTTATGAGCTAAGGAAGATGAACTTTAATTCAAAGAGGATAGATAAGAAGTCCAGCGTCTTTTTGCAGCCTTGATGATGTTCTGGCATATGCAGGATAAGTTAAATATATCTGCTCAAGTTCATAGACCATGTCGGCACCACGGTGTCAGACTGGCCTGTACAAAGCAGTTCGGGCCTTAAGTTACAAGTTAACTTTGGTCTTTTTGATGAAATACTTGGCCTTTTGGTACGCTACAACAGTAATACTTCAATAATGACTACTTCACTTTAACTTGGTTTATGTAGAAAAACTGACAAACAGAAGATGATAAAGACTGGAAGTGAACAAGTATAGGAGGAGTAATAATGAAATAAAGTAAACACTTGGGATGGACTAAAAACATAAGGATAAACTAGGGAGCATTAAAGAAAAAACAGAAGGATGGCCGACTACTGGAATAAATCCATATAAAGACAAGGGAACACAGAACTGGAACTGGAAGAGAAGATGGAAATAGGGAGGACAACTAAAGGATTGACTCAAAGGACACTAAATCATCTATTTGCATTTAAAAATTAAAAAACTTTTACTGAATAAAATATTAAACATCAGTTCATCATGTTTTTGTTTCTGACATGATAAAATAATTTAGTTTATTTAAATTATTTAGTTCATGTTTTTGTTTTAACCTGCATCCTGTTGGCTTCAGCTCTCTGCTTTTATTCTTTATTCAGGCTGAGGGGCTGCAGCTTGTCAGAGATCAACTGTTCTTCTCTGGGCCCAGCTCTGAAGTCCAACCCGTCCCATCTGACAGAACTGGACCTGAGTCAGAACCACCTGTCTGGTTCTGTAGTGAAGGATCTCTGTGGTTTCCTGGAGAGTCCAGACTGTAGACTGGAGGTTCTGAGGTCAGTTCTCAGCAGCAGTTGGAGGTTTTCTGTGTTTAACCCTTTATAGGGCCAACGTCCATATTTAGACACTTCCTCTCACATTATAAATAATGTTGATGTGCTTTTTCACGAACTCTTAGAATTACGAGATTTCAACCAAACAATCATCAGAGATCAAGCTAGTCACAGTTTGCGCCACGGCGCCATTCCACCAATCAGGGCGGAGCTATAACGGGTCAACTGTTGGTGTGTCTGCAGAGCCAGAAAACTGCTCGTCTCCTCTCGTGTTTACGGTCAGATCTCTAAAACTAACAACGCTAGATTTAAAAAAAACTCTCACATCACCAGGTTGACTAGTTCTGCTCAATAAGGATACATGTGTTGTAAATGTTAAACTCAATAAAGTTGGTGAAATCTTAGAATAAAAATCAAATCTGCCACATTTGTACACTTTTTGTACTGTTACAATGTATTTTGCAGTTTTAAGCTAAGATTTCTCTGGAAAATGGAGGACAGTTATTGTACCAACCAACCTCACCATCAGTGATGATGATGATGAACAGGAGGAAGATGATGATGAGGCAGATCCTCACATATAAAATATTCTAAATGATTCTAATAATCTATATTGGATCAGAAATAGTATCTATTGTTCAATAACGTATCAAAAATATTCCACAGTAATATAATTTTATAAAAATATTCTATATTGTTTAATAATTGTGATATAATCTGTATTATTGAACAGTGATATAATGTTCTAAAATCATCTCTAAAGTGTCTTATAATTATCTATATTATTCAAAAATAATGTTTATTTCACTTGTTCATGTGTTTATTGGGATTTCTTTTACCAGAACAGGACCAACATCCATATTTCATCTATTTATTTTCTCTGGTTTTCTGCATGAAAATATTTATGAAAATTGTAACAACAGAAACACACTTTGGTTATGGACTACAATAACACCCTGGGGTTGAAATTTAAACATTAAAACACTTCGATGAGTGTCCTATAAAGGTTTAACAACTAAAATCATTCACTGGTTCTTCAGAATTTATTTATTTATTATCATTTAAAAACTTGAATTAAAACTTTAATATTTTCCAGGAATTTCTCAGTTTTTCTAAAATTTTAAATAAACTATTTTAGAACAAAAACAAGTTTTTGTTTCTGCTGGTTTAAAAACTTTTACTGAATAAAATATTAAACATCAGTTCATCATGTTTTTATTTCTGACATGATAACATAATTTAGTTTATTTAACCCTTCTGTTGTTTTAGGGTCAAAATTCACCCGTTTTCAAGTTTAACTCTAAAAAGTACACTTTCCTTCTTTGTCCTGGAATGAGGCTTCATCTAATCCTCAGACAGACCTATTTAAATGCAGCAAAATCAATTTTCACAATTTTAGAAAATTCTAAATGTCTCAAAAAAATAAGTTACATCTGTGGTGTAACGGGTCCAAAATGACCCGGCAGAGAAAACAGCAGTTGTATGCATCACTTAAAAGCTATGGGTTCCTCTGAGGATCAATTATGGCCCACATCACCAACACACACACACACACACACACACACACACACACACACACACACACACACACACACACACACACACACACACACACACACACACACACACACACACACACACACACACACACACTGTTGTTTATCTTTGTTCATTTAATGTTTAAATAAAAGTTGGTTTTATGGAAAAACAAAATTTACTTGTCTTTATCCTACCGTTTATCTATGTGGGTTTGTTTTGACCCGAAACACCAAAGATGTCACTGTTGTTAATAATTTTAAATAGTTTAAAAAAATTATGAATTTTTGTGGGTAGGTGTACTCTAATATTAGTTTATAATACATTTATAGTTTATTACTCATTCTATAAGAAAAGAAATATATTTAGTGAATTTAAACAGTTTTTGCAATCCAAAACGAGTGTTATATTTTAAAATACTGTCTGTGGAGCCTACTAAAAAACAATTCACACACTGGTTCCATTTATATGACTAAGCCAGCAATTAGCTGCAAAACAACATTTGAAGAAAACTGGTGATTTTAAGCCTTTTCAAGCATTTTTAAATCATGGGTCCAAATGGACCCGGTAACACCACAAGTGTAAACAGCTTTCTAACACAATACAAGGGTTAAATGTTTTAGTTCATGTTTCTGTTTTAACCTGCATCCTGTTGGCTTCAGCCCTCTGCTTTTATTCTTTATTCAGGTTGTGGAGCTGCAGCTTGCCAGAGATCAGCTGTTCTTGTCTGGGCTCAGCTCTGAAGTCCAACCCGTCCCATCTGACAGAACTGGACCTGGGCGATAACCACCTGTCTGATTCTGGACTGAAGGATCTCTGTGGTTTCCTGGAGAGTCCAGACTGTAGACTGGAGGTTCTGAGGTCAGTTCTCTGCAGCTGTTGGAGGTTTTTCTGTGTTTAACAAACTAAAATTATTCACTGATGCTTCAGAATTTATTTATTATTTATGTGACAGGGTGAGTGTCGCTGTGTCCTGATCGGTCATGCGCCCTGGCTACTTGACCGAGGGGGTGTCCCTTTGGCTGACTGGTTAGCTCGTGTGACTCTCACTCAGGAGTCTGGGGGTTGAATCCCTCGTTTCTCCACCTTGCCACATTTATTTCATTTCAGAACTTTCTCAGTTTTTCTAAAGTTTTACATAACTTAATTGTAGAACAAAAATGAGTTTGTTTTTCTGCTACTTTGATCCTTTAAACAACTTTTACTGAATAAAATATTAAACATCAGTTCATCATGTTTTTGTTTCTGACATGATAAAATAATTTAGTTTATTTAAGTGATGTAGTTCATGTTTCTTTTTTAACCTGCATCCTGTTGGCTTCAGCTCTCTGCTTTTATTCTTTATTCAGGTTGGAGAGATGCAGCTTGTCAGGGATAAGCTGTTCTTCTCTGAGCTCAGCTCTGAAGTCCAACCCATCCCATCTGACACAACTGGCCCTTAGATGGAACAACCTGAAGGCTCCAGATGTTGAACAGCTGCTGGGTCTTGTGGAGAGTCCAGACTACAAGCTGCAGACTCTGAGGTCAGTATCTGGGTGGAGTGAGTCCAGGCTGCTGTCAGCGGGACTGGACTAAACCCAGTTAGCATCAAAGCAAAGAACCAGTGTTTCCAGTAAAGCTGCAGCTTCCCAGTGGCTGGGAGAGGAGAACGGTGACAGGCTTCATAACTGGACACCAAGGAGCCAATCAGAAGAGCCAGAAGCTTGTTGTGCTTGTTGCTTCCACATGTCTAGAGACAGTGGTCCTCATCCATCAGATCTGATCTCAGACTGCTGGTTGTCTCATTTCTACAGGAAATCACTGATCTGTGTCACAGATCTGAGATCAGTCTGACTGCAGCCTGTAAATCACTGGCTCTGGTTTCATACAGCAGGCTTCCATTTAGGAACCATGTGGTGTTTTTACAGAGCAGAACCTCTGCTGAAATCCACTCAGCACATCTGTCCAGCTGTCCTCCTGTCATTAGTCTGATCCAGATGTGTTCAGGGACAGCCTCCATGTCTCTGACTCAGAAGCAGATGAGTTAGTGTGTTTAGATGTAGCAGCAGTAAAGCATCACTACATGTTTGTGTAGTAATGAAGCCTTCAGGACTCTCAGCTGTTTGTTTCCTCTGGAGTCACACCTGCAGAGGTAACACACCTGCAGAGGTAACACACCTGCAGAGGAAACACACCTGCAGAGGTAACACACCTGCAGAGGTAACACACTTGCAGAGGTAACACACTTGCAGAGGTAACACACTTGCAGAGGTAACACACCTGCAGAGGAAACACACCTGCAGAGGAAACACACCTGCAGAGGAAACACACCTGCAGAGGTAACACACCTGCAGAGGAAACACACCTGCAGAGGAAACACACCTGCAGAGGAAACACACTTGCAGAGGTAACACACCTGCAGAGGAAACACACCTGCAGAGGTAACACACCTGCAGAGGAAACACACCTGCAGAGGAAACACACCTGCAGAGGAAACACACCTGCAGAGGTAACACACCTGCAGAGGTAACACACCTGCAGAGGTAACACACTTGCAGAGGAAACACACTTGCAGAGGAAACACACCTGCAGAGGAAACACACCTGCAGAGGAAACACACCTGCAGAGGTAACACACCTGCAGAGGAAACACACCTGCAGAGGAAACACACCTGCAGAGGAAACACACTTGCAGAGGAAACACACTTGCAGAGGTAACACACTTGCAGAGGTAACACACCTGCAGAGGTAACACACCTGCAGAGGTAACACACCTGCAGAGGAAACACACCTGCAGAGGAAACACACCTGCAGAGGAAACACACCTGCAGAGGAAACACACCTGCAGAGGAAACACACCTGCAGAGGAAACACACTTGCAGAGGAAACACACCTGCAGAGGTAACACACCTCTAGAGGTAACACACCCGTAAAGGAAACACACTTTGGTAACACACCTCTAGAGGTACAGTGGGGCAAAAAAGTATTTAGTCAGCCACCGATTGTGCAAGTTCTCCCACTTAATATGATGACAGAGGTCAGTAATTTACATCATAGGTACACTTCAACTGTGAGAGACAGAATGTGAAAAAAAATCCATGAATTCACACGGCAGGATTTTTAAATAATTTATTTGTAAATCAGGTGGAAAATAAGTATTTGGTCACTTCAAACAAGGAAAATCTCTGGCTCTCACAGACCTGTAACGTCTTCTTTAAGAAGCTTTTCTGTCCTCCACTCGTTACCTGTATTAATGGCACCTGTTTGAACTCATTATCTGTATAAAAGACACCTGTCCACAGCCTCAAACAGTCAGACTCCAAACTCCACTATGGCCAAGACCAAAGAGCTTTCGAAGGACACCAGGAAAAGAATTGTAGACCTGCACCAGACTGGGAAGAGTGAATCTACAATAGGCAAGCAGCCTGGTGTGAAAAAATCAACTGTGGGAGCAATTATCAGAAAATGGAAGACATACAAGACCACTGATAATCTCCCTCGATCTGGGGCTCCACGCAAGATCTCATCCCGTGGGGTCAAAATGATCATGAGAACGGTGAGCAAGAATCCCAGAACCACACGGGGGGACCTGGTGAATGACCTGCAGAGAGCTGGGACCACAGTAACAAAGGTCACATCAGTAACACACTACAACGGCAGGGAATCAAATTCTGCAGTGCCAGACGTGTTCCGCTGCTGAAGCCAGTGCATGTCCAGGCCCGTCTGAAGTTTGCCAGAGAGCACATGGATGATACAGCAGAGGATTGGGAGAATGTCATGTGGTCAGATGAAACCAAAGTAGAACTTTTTGGTATAAACTCAACTCGTCGTGTTTGGAGTGTTGGGGTTATTCGGTAGCGAACAATTAGTAAGTGTTAACTTACTTTTGGATTCTTCAATAAATTCTGTAAATATGGGAATATTTACTTATTTATTAATTAATTAAGATATTCTTAGATATCTCCGGGGCACCACCCTTTAATTAGAAAGGGAAATGAATCCAAAACCTTATCAGTCTTTCTTGAAGTTCGTATAATCCTTGGAGCAGATACTTCTCTTCGACACAACAAAGCTACTGGACACAAAAATCTGAATTTTATAACATTTAATTAAACAATTTGTCAAATGAATAAACAATGAAATAAATGAATAATAACCGTGTGATATGATTGAAGATGGATGTGTTTGCGTGTGATGGAGGATGCATGAATGGGGTCCTTTGTTCTCACAAAGGAGTAGTGTGTGTGTGTATGTGCGTGTGTATGGATTCAAAATGGAGTCTTGAATACAAGATGGCTGACCCCTTTGTCTGGCTAAAGTGTGGGTGGCAACTTGCACTAGGGCTGCAACAAACGATTATTTGGATAATCGATTAATCGGATGGGGTCTCGACACGATTAATCGATTAATCGGATTACATGGGGAAATTTTTAAAAACTGCTAGGGAAACGTTATTTCTCTCCTTCCTTCACTTTATTTAACACAACATTATTAGAAAACAGTTCAATAGCAGAAAAACAACATGCCATCACCTAAATTGTCTTATAAGGTGTATAGACAGAGACCCTAAGCTACATCTATCTGTGACCTAAAATGCTTGGTCCAAGTTAAACAGCTTAAGGGCAATTCTCATCTGTTTTGTTTGATCTCATCTGTTAACATTTATTTTAAATGTAATTAAACATAGGCTGTGAATTAATCAAAATTGATCACTATTTCCAAAACTGACTGAAAAAATACCAAATAAAACAAAAGTAAATGAATGCCATCCTCCTTGCGATGATGCCCTGGGCAACTGCCATAAAGTCACATCAAGAAATGCTGCTGATCATTCCAATGATCCCAAATAGACTCACATTAGGCCACATGAAAGCAACTGAACCCAAAAATATATTAACCAGTATATAACTGCACTCTCACACAACACGCCTGCAGCAACAGTTAGGACTTCTCCCTCCCTTTTAAAAGCGTTTTTGCTTCTGAGGACATTGTGGTTGTAAAACCACATGCTAGTAGTCTGGCCCCGGTGTGATCAACCAGTTTCTGCGGGAATGTGACGGCGGAACCAGGGCCAGATTAACACTTTGTTGTACCCTGGGCAACAATATTCAAGGGCTCCATCATCACGACCCAAGGATCACCATAATGTGGTCACATACAGAATATTTTACTGTGATATGCAGTAAATATACTCAATACTTGAATGCCTGACAACACGTAACCCACCCAGAGTAACCTTTGACCCACCTCGTGTGGACTGACCAATGAGGAGAGGGTCTTAACTTGAGGCCCTCTCTTCATTGGTCAGTCTGCATGAGACTGACTCTCAACTGACATTCAGTCGTAGGCAGCGAAGCGTCTCTGTGCAGCGCAAAAACCCGGGTGGACAGTTTGTTTAATGTAGGGTGACCATATTCCCATTTCCAAACAAGAGGACAGGGGATCTGTGCCTATGACGTCACACTATGGCAACGCCACACAAACCATGTTGGGACCCATTTTTTGTAAGAACTAAATTAATATCAGATTCTGCCAATTAAAGGGCTCTAAAACAATTCATATGTAAATATTTTGCATATTTAATGCAAAATCTAATTTTTCTGCTTTAGTGCTGCAACAAGGTTTTATTAATAATAAATTATTATACCTTTTGTTTTACTACAGCATCGGTAAGCTTCCTGTGCACAGATGATTAAGGATGCTTGTTTCAGCTGTGAGATTAGACGATAGGATCAATGAAAAAATAAGTTGTCACACACTCCATGGAAACTTTCAGAGAATCCACAAATAGTGGCTTTCAAATGGTTTTGTTACTTTTAGCAGGTTTAGAAAAGCAGCAGATGAGACAGCATGTCTGATAATTTAGTTTTTCATCTGATAATATTAGAACATGTCAGTAATGTCTGAGGGGCTTTTATAAACACCATATAAATAACACTACTGGAGAGGGCATGAATTACACAGAGGCTTCTGGGGAGCCCAGTTATGGGGGGGGGGCATTTTGCCTTGGCCCCCAAAATGTCTTGAAACGGCGCTGGGTGTGTGACTGAGTTTTGAAGGTGATCTGAATTGTATCAGATGTATTAATATGACATGTGTATAACTTATTGTTTTTTACTGGTAAAAACGTGTCATGGAGATAAATCTACCTACATTTGACTTTTCAACACTTTGTTTTGTTTTCTTGTTTTTATTTAACTATTTTCCTGTCCTGTCTGTCTCTCATCTTCCTGCATCTCCTCATAATTCTCCAGAAAATCTGTTGCCTGGATTCTTACCTTTTCACCTCATCAGTTACTTTTGAGCAGATCAAAGGGATCTCCTGACCGAAAAGCGCAGAGCGCGTTTTCGATGCTGCGTGAGGTGACATCACCACAGCAGAGGTGATGAGCTCCACAGTAGCGAGCTTCAGGCACAAATAAGACAGAAAATAGAGAATATGTGCGGACATGAACGATCGTGTGCTAATTATAGTTTTTTGGTTGCGCCACTTTGAGAATGGACCGTGCGCTGGAAGCAGCTGCCTGGATCGCTGCGCGACAATGCGGAACCGGTTCGCAGCAGCGCAAGTCTGCCGGCTCTCCCTCGCGCTGATCTGCGGCTCTCCCTCGCGCTGATCTGCCGGCTCTCCCTCGCGCTGATCTGCGGCTCTCCCTCGCGCTGATCTGCCGGTACCGGCTCTCCCTCACGCTGATCTGCGGCTCTCCCTCGCGCTGATCTGCCGGCTCTCCCTCGCGCTGATCTGCGGCTCTCCCTCGCGCTGATCTGCCGGTACCGGCTCTCCCTCACGCTGATCTGCGGCTCTCCCTCGCGCTGATCTGACTTGCTCTGGTCTGCGCGCAACGGCGGGCAGGAAGGGGGGGGGGGGGGGGGGCGCTTTTGGAAGAGTTGTGCGACACAACGAATCGATGACGCAATTCGTTGCCAACGCTTTTAGTAATCGATTTTCATCGAATTTATCGATTCGTTGTTGCAGCCCTAACTTGCACTTTAACTTCCAAAGCACTTAGAATCAGTAGTAACTTAACCTTAAATCACTCAAAACATTTCAAAGGATCATGAAACAACACAAAAGATTAATCACAAATTATATCTTTTTAGTTTAACTGCTTGGCCGTAGCAGAAAACATTTAAAGATACCAAACAATGATCAATAAGCAGTTTATTCTTTCAAAATGACCCGACGGACGTATTGGGAGCGAAAGAGGAAAACACGTCTGGTAATTTGAAGCAATAGCGCGGTTTTATTGCTTATTCTGGACTATAGAGGAAACGGGAGAAGAAGGAGAGAGAGAAAGAGATGAGTTTCTGATCACCAGAAGAGCGAGGCGTCCCTCACTCTTTGAGTTGACGGTTCTCCGTGTTTCTCCACAGTTCTCTGCGTCGTCCGTCGGCTTGATGGCTTTCTCCGCTGTTTTCGCGTTCTCCGTGAGTTTGACGGAGTTGCTGATTTTTCCAGCCCGGTTCTGTGTTCTTCCCTTCAGCAGCTAGAGCAGCGAGCGGTTGAACAGACCTGATGGCTTGTAGTTTAGTTTTCCAGCGGTTGCGTGGCTCAACTTGGGCACTTAGAGCTTCCGCGTGCTCAAGGGAGTCGGAGCGTTCGACAAGCGTGTCCTTACCGCCAGGTATCCTGGGCAAAAGAACAAGGTTCCTTTGTCTTTCCTGATGATTTATAGTCTGAGTTCGCGGGAAAGCTCCGTGACTCCCGCACATGCACAGAATGTGTTTCTGGTATTAGGCGGTGATGTCATCACAATGCTTCCGTGTGCAAAGCATCATGGGAAATGAAGTTTCTTGGCGCTGATGTGATTATTTGCTTTTCAGAGCAATTTAAGCACAGTCATGTTGGAGAAAATCACTGCATAGTAATTTCCTCATGAGGTCAGACCCTCAACAGGAGGAAGAAGAATACTGAGTTGCATCCCAAGAACACCATACCTACTGTGAAGCATGGGGGTGGGAACATCATGCTTTGGGGCTGTTTTTCTGCTAAGGGGACAGGACGACTGATCCGTGTTAAGGAAAGAATGAATGGGACCATGTATCGTGAGATCCTGGGCTAAAACCTCCTTCCATCAGTGAGAGCTTTGAAGATGAAACGTGGCTGGGTCTTCCAACACGACAATGATCCCAAACACACCGCTCTGGCAACAAAGGAGTGGCTCCGTAAGAAGCATTTGAAATTCCTGGAGTGGCCTAGCCAGTCTCCAGACCTCAACCCCATAGAAAATCTGTGGAGGGAGTTGAAAGTCTGTTGCTCGGCGACAGCTCCAAAACATCACTGCTCTCGAGAAGATCTGCATGGAGGAATGGGCCAAAATACCAGCTACTGTGTGTGCAAACCTGGTAAAGACCTATAGTAATCATTTGACCTCTGTTATTGCCAACAAAGGTTATGTTACAAAGTATTGAGTTGAATTTGTGTTATTGACCAAATACTTATTTTCCACCCTGATTTACAAATAAATTCTTTAAAAATCCTGCCATGTGAATTCATGGATTTTTTTTCACATTCTGTCTCTCACAGTTGAAGTGTACCTATGATGTAAATTACTGACCTCTGTCATCATTTTAAGTGGGAGAACTTGCACAATCGGTGGCTGACTAAATACTTTTTTGCCCCACTGTAACACACCTGCAGAGGTAACACACCTGTAGAGGAAACACACTTTGGTAACACACCTCTAGAGGTAACACACCTGCAGAGGTAACACACCTGTAGAGGAAACACACTTTGGTAACACACCTCTAGAGGTAACACACCTGCAGAGGAAACACACTTTGGTAACACACCTCTAGAGGTAACACACCTGCAGAGGAAACACACTTGCGGAGGAAACACACCTGCAGAGGAAACACACCTCTAGAGGTAACACACCTGCAGAGGTAACACACCATACCAACTTGTTTATGAAGCATTATTTAAAAATAGCACGGCAGCTAACCAAAGAGCTGTACATAAAAGAGCCAAATGCTCGAGCATATCAGCAAAACAAAGTAAAAACATGGAAATCAGGTAAAATACATAAAGACAGCATACATAATAAAGGATATAAATTCCAGAATAAGAGAACAGGTAAAAGGTAACAGCACTGTCCAAAGTAAAAAAAATTGCAGTGAGTGACTAAAACCATTTGAAACAGCACAAATAAAACCAGAAAAGCTACAAGATAGTGAAAGGTGTTAAAAAGTGAGCTACCGAGTCATGAAAACTAAATGAAGAAAAGTAAAACTGCTGCTGGAGTTTCGTATAAAGTGTCACAGAGGGAAGGCGATGCTGATGAAGTGTGTTTTAAGGACAGACTTGAACCTGCTGACAGAGGGAGCCAAACGCACAGCGAGGGGTAGATTGTTCCAGAGTTTGGGGGCTGCACGAGAGAAGGCACGCTCCCCCATGATCTGTACCGAACCTTTGGAATGACCAGCAGCTGAACGAAGGGGACGAGTGGGAACATATGGAGACAGCAGGTCCGCCAGATAGGATGGAGATGGGCAATCCAAAGCCTTGTATGCATATAACAAGACTTTGACATGAATCCTAAATTTGACCAGGAGCCAGTGTAAATCTGCGAGAATAGGTGTGATGTGCATGTCTCTGTCAGTGTTAGTTAAAACTCTGGCTGCAGCATTTTGAACCTTCTATAGTCTGCTTAGGGCAGAAGCTTTAATCCCAATTACGACAGAATTTGCGTAATCCAGACGGGAAGTAATGAAAGCATGAATGATTGACTCAAGATGCGGACGTTTGAGGATTCATTGAAGGCATCACACTGAAGACATGTGATGCGGTGGAGTTGGAACAATCAGGAACTGACAGAACACACCAGCTGCGAAGCGCCATGAAGTGGATCGCTCACCAAATTCATGCGCTGTCCGCTCCTCCTCTGTTCACGTCGATGAGCACTTCTGCTCACGCCTATTGTTTTGCTCTGACAGTACAGCTGACTCACCAGGAAGAACCAAAAGTCTCATGCTGGAAAAAATAATCCCTTAAAATGGCAGTTTTGTTCCCAATTGACCAGACGTTGAGGAGAGCAACCCTAAAGAGCTTTGAAAGACCGGAATCAGGTGACTGGGCCACTTGGGCCACCGTAGGATAGCAGATGTTAGCTTGGTTCACACCCACAAAATCCACGGGTTGGTGAGGGAAGTATTCCGGCGACTGGATTCCCCAGAGAATCTGTGGCAGAATGATGGAATGCAAAAGGTCCGATGACTTCCATGTAGCAACTCCAGTGGCAGGTGAGGGTTTCATCCGCACGAGAAGCCAGAGGAGGATCTGAGCGGCACTATGGAACCCCGCGTTTTCCAAGTCTGCGGCATCTCCTAGGTAACCCAGGCTTGTTGGTTAAGGCTGGAAGCCTGGAGTCAGAAACTGTAAGCAGACTTGTGAAGGCATTGGGTAAGGTACTCTGATCATGGACCGCTGGAATCTTCAGGCTCCACCTTGGAATCACAGAATCTGATGGCTGCAGAATATGGTACAACACCGCTTGTGACACACGAGCAGTTTCCAGAACCAACTCCAAAGCAAACCTCTTCCCCTACCTAGGAAACACCATGCCGTGCGGGGAGAGCGAAGCAGCAGAGCTTGGACTGCCATAAACAGCAGATTAGAACACAGTCTTAGATTAGAACAGCAGTGATAGGCAAATCCAAGATTATGCCGAAGTTCAATGAGGGTGAGACGATCATAGCGGCACCATCTTGGTTTTCACACTAGAACTAAAGATTGGTTGCACCGGCTTTGGTCCTACTGTGTGTGTAACAAACCTGCAGAGGTAACACACACTTGTAGAGGTAACACACACCTGCAGAGGAAACACACCTGATACTAAAAGTCTCTGCAGGTGTGTGAGCTCCACTCCAACACGTTAACATGAAGCTGCTGCTGATGGAGAATGTGCTGCATCACTGACTGAAGCTGATGGAGAGAGTCTGGAAACAGGAAGTCACCTCCTCTCTTCTCTCTACAGGTGGAGGTAATGATGACCTTTGACCAGGAGAGAAGTTGAGCCGAGTCCTGATGGTCCTCAGAGGCTGAAGCAGCAGTTTGTGTAGAAAGAGACTCAGACTGGATCATGAAGATGAATGTTTCATTTTTCTGGATTTTAGAGCAACATCTGCTGCTTCTGTGTTTTTATCTCTGGGAGAAAACTTCAAGTGATCGATAATTTAAATGTAAAACTTGAACAACAACAATAAGAGCAGCTCCATGGGAGCTTCATCAGGAAGGAACTGAGACTTTTTTCATCCATTTCCTGTGAACTGATGATCTGTTGATGTTAAAACAGAAATGCTGTTGGATGTTTTCTGTCATTTATCTCCAGATCCAGACTGAATCTTGTAGCTTTTCTGTTTACGCTGAACCTCTGTTAGATGAACATCAGGTGTGAAACTCCAGTAATCATGTGATGAAGCTGAGGAACAGCTAGGAGTTCTGCTTCTGAGGACTTCAGTCTGTCATGAGTTCCTCTTCATCCTGGAGTCTTCTCCACTGGAACCATTCAGGAGATCTGATGGGAATGTTGTCTCCATCCTGTCTGGAACACACACACACACACACACACACACACACACACACACACACACACACACACACACACACACACACACACACACACACACACACACACACACACACACACACACACACACACACACACACACACACACACACACACACACACACACACACACACACACACACACACACACACACACACACACACACACACACACACACACACACACACACACACACACACACACACACACACACACACACACACACACACACACACACACACACACACACACACACACACACACACACACACACACACACACACACACACACACACACACACACACACACACACACACACACACACACACACACACACACACACACACACACACACACACACACACACACACACACACACACACACACACACACACACACACACACACACACACACACACACACACACACACACACACACACACACACACACACACACACACACACACACACACACACACACACACACACACACACACACACACACACACACACACACACACACACACACACACACACACACACACACGCGTACGCGTGCTCAACCTTCTCAGGGTGGACTGATGTTTGGACATGTCCTCTGTAGTTTGTCCTCTCTGGACACTCCTGGTCTGTAGATGTGAGCTGTGTCCACATCTTGTCTGTCTCCACCGTGTCCAGACTGGGACATGGTGGACTTTTTAAATCTAAACAGAAGATGTGTTAAAAATGTCAGCAACCAAATCCAGTCTCATGAAACGATGAAGCGGCAGCTAAAGAACCGAGAAGAGCTCAAAGCTGTCATGAGACTAAAAACAACTAGAGACAAACGCTGAGAGGAAGTGAGAGCAGGAAGCAGACGTTACCATGGAAACTCTCAGCTGATGTTTTATTACTGGGATGAATTCATGTGACCAGTTCTTCCTTTAGTGGAGAAGATCAACAGCAGCTGGAACAGAAGCAAGTCAGAGATCAGATGATGTCACAGACTAGATGATGTCACAGACCAGATGAGATCATAGATCAGATGATGTCACAGACCAGATGATGTCACAGACCCAACAGGTGAACTACTGAAACTTGCTGACTGGCTCTAAACACAACTTTTCTTTTTATGAACTGTTTTTAGTGGCTGAAGATTACAACAAGGTTGTTATTGTAACCTTCAGTTGTGTGTTTACCTGTAATCTTGTTATTATTTTTCTCTTAAGTCTTTGCGCTGCTGTAGCAAGCGAGTTTCCTCACGGTGGGATTAATAAAGACGATCTAAAACCTCAAAGGGGCGTGTGTTTCTGCTCCTCTTTGTTATCAACTGCACCAACACAACACCAGATCAATCACCACAGTCTGTTCATATCCACACAGCTCTCATCCAGATGTTGTGAGTGGAGCAGATGTGCTGTGGTAAAAGTAACAGCTGTGTTGGAGGTGATTGACACCAGCGTAGATGATCCTGCTACACAAACATTTACTGTTACTGCTTCATCTCTACGAGGCTGAAGCAGCTTCACACGACAGCTTCTGCTTCAGTTTAAGGCTCCTTCTACACATTTGTGTTCATCCTTTGATCAGAGCTGCTTCTAGAACTACAACACCTAGACACTCACACCTGCTCTCAGATCTTCTACAAGCAGAATCAGGAAAAGGTTGTTTCCGAGAGCCTAACCTGAGGGTCTCAGATGGAATAAATGTAGATGTGAAATGGTTTTCTTTTCTCTAATAAAAGCTCTGAGAGATAAAACATGTGAACCTTCAGACGCTCTAGGTGGACATCTTCTCTAACATCTTCCCTCTGACTGGTTTCCAGTCCAACAGCTCAGGCTGCTGCTGGAACTGATGCAGCAGGTGGAGCAGGAGGAAGTCTCTGGAACTACAACAGGTTTCTTCTTGGAACAATGAAAAACAACCTTCTATTTCCTCCTTCCTCTCACGTCTGTCGAGTAAAGGCATTTAAACTGTTTCTAAAAACTTCAACATTTCACTGAGATGTGGTGATGTCACACCGGAGGTGACTAGAGGTCTGTTTCATGGTTCAATACAGCTGCACTCCACTCCTGCAGCAGTGCATGCTGGGTGTTTTTATCAGAAGTGGAATGCAGCCTCTTTTCCTATACTCAGTCAGGTGTATTATCAGCATGTTGGCCCACAGCCAGCTGCTCCTTTAGTGCACCAGGAGGAGTGTTCAGACCTTCTGCCTCCATCTTTGAACCAGCAGCTGTTGAAGTCTGGTCTGACTGCTTTTTGCTCTGAGCTACAAACCAGTTGTCTGTCAGCAAAACCAGTCCAGGTTCAACTTCCTTCCTTTTGACTCCATTCTGATCATTTATGATGAAACTTCACTTCTTCAGTAACAAGTTAGATTTTAGGGGTTGAGACTTTTTTCCAAAGACAAAAACAGAGAAGTAATTCCCTAAATCAGCAGAAATAATAAAAAGGTTGTTTTACATCGACCCAACCTGCTTACATGTGAGCTGAACTCATCCAGGCTCAAACTAAATCGTCTTTTCTGTCTGCTCTAACTACTTTTGCACCAACAGCTCCCTCTGCTGGACGGAGACGTCCTGAACTCTCTACTAGAAAAGCATCACAGGTGTCAAACTCAGGCCCTCGGGCCAAATCTGGCCCATGGTAGATTTAGATTTGGCCCACTAGATCATATATCAGATATGTATTAACTGGCCAGCTGGCTGGTGTGCCACAAAGACTACAAATCCCATAGTGCTTTGCTGCATTAGTGCATCAGTCAAAGCGCCCCCTCCTTTCTGTTTACAGTCATTAGCGTCCATGCTAGCAGCCTCTGCATCTGCAGCATTATCCTCCTCAGTCTGGCTGACTGATGAAAGAACTGATGTAATCTGGTTATTCCAGATTTTGTCTTTATGCAGGAATAAGTTTGTTTCCAGATGAAAAGGTTCAACAGTAGATGTTCACGTTTGTCGTCTGTTTTAATAAATACTGAGTCAGTCCAGCAACTCCGTCCCAGATTTTCATTCCAGCCCAGTTCTAATGTGAGTTTGACCCCGCTGATCCAGATGTGTGAAAACCTTTCAGCAGCACATCTTAAACTCACTTTCCATGACTTTGTTCTGTTTTTATACAGAGCAGTAAAACAACTGTTGTTTACCTTGAAGATGACATGTTTTAGCGACTCTAGCCATCATCAGAGTTAGCCGGTGTTGGTGGCGTTTCGTGTTGGTGTGTGTGTGTGTGTGCTTTGTTCAGAATCTCTAGGCTGACGTAGCGAGTCTGGTTTGTTATGACTAGGCTACCACGAGGCTTCAGAAGCTGATGACATGAGCCGCCATTTTGCCACGTACCGTAGATGGAGTCTCCCTTGTAGATCAGGAATTGCCAGGTCCTAAGACCTCGGTTGTACTGGAGCTGGTTGAAACAGCGGTCACAGCACACAACGCCCGTCTGAGGATAACTCCAGTAGTAGTGAGCAGGCATCAGCAAGTTCACTCTTATTTTGAAGGACGGTTGTCTCGTTGGTACAAACGGCGGAAGTCTCCAGCTTGACAGATCTCAGCTTAAAACAGGAAATACAGATGGCCAGCCTGCATTCCTCTTTGCGGTGATGGATTGAGAGCTGGTTGAAAACAATGTTGAGAGTATGATGTAACTCCTTGGAGCTCGGATCGAACAGAGCTGATGTCAACGTGGAATTTAACGTGGAACTGACTTAAAATGGCATTGCCTTCTTTTTATATCTCCCAGTTGTTCATGAATCTTAGTAAACTGGATTGGACACATTAAGTAAACATACCAGATTCTCTCTATGACAGACGAAAGTTCTGATTGGTTGAAAACAATGTGTCATGCGTTTCCATGGTAATGCATATCAGTGTGTCTGGTGCAGCCCTGTTTATTTATTTAAACACATAACTCATGACATCTTTATTTCACAGATCATTCACCTGATTATTAATGATCAACAAATGCTTTGATTAGCTTATCACAAATAAAGTACTTTGATTAATCAATGAAAAGCGTTCTTCTTCTGTTCTTCTGTCTCTTCTCCTGGAATGTAAACATACTGAACCAAGCGTCCGACCTTGGCGATGTTACTGTGTGAAGGGGCAGCTGTTAAGGGCAGACCATTATAAACTTCCTAACGCTACACCTGCTTCACCAAGAACTCTGCTGAGAGTTTCACTCCAGGAGAACACATGACCATTGATGAACAGCAGTTCCCTACTTAAGGTTCGTTGTCCGTTCACCCAGTATATTGCAACCAACACTGACAAATTCGGGCTCAAGTTCTGGATGGCCACAGATTTGGAGACCAAATAGGTGTGCAATGTATCCCCTTACTTGGGAAAGGACACCAGTCATCAGAAGGGTGAGAGGCGGGGAGAGAATGTGGTCATGAAACTGCTGTCACGACAGACAATTTTGTCACCTCACTGGCGCTGTCGCACAGACTGCTTCAGTGCAAAACAACGACATTGGGTACGATAAGCAAAGTTCGCCGTGAACTTCCTCAGCTTACATATCACACTGCACCACGAGAGGTATTCTCCACTTCAGTGCTTAGAATTGGAAGTGTCTCCAATTTATGCACCAAGGAGGAGGAGATGTCACTATCTCACAATAATGTTCTGATCCTTCCAAAGACATGTACATCAGGAGATTTCTCACAAAGAAGAATAAAGTAAGTGAAACAGTCCCACAGGACAGGTTTCAGTGGAGTTAGCTGGTCAGTGTTGTTCACCAGCTTGGCCCTCTGGCTGTTTATCATTTATTAGGCAGACTGGTTCTGTTTCTGATCCATTACGTTGTTCTTAGTAAAAATTAACGTTCCAGACATAAACAATAGCTAAACTGAATTCTGAGTGGGAGAAACTCATTTTTACTTCTGTTAAATGGCATGAGGTGATCAGTAAACAGTGTAAGCTAACATGTATGCTCCCCAGAAACACAAGTCAGCTGAAAAATGTTGGTGTAGCTGGACATTTTGCTCAATTTTATGGCTTTTTGTCAGACTCTGAACCAGGAAATGGCTGCAGGCAGTGAAGGAAAAAGAAAAAAACTCTGGAGAAACCAGTGACTCCACCCCCTAGCCAATCAGCGGC